AAAGGGAGGAATTTCAATCAATGACTTTCGTTGACACGCTTTTCCTTGAAGGGGTACCAGGGTACCACGACCGTAGCTTGTCCATGCTTGTTAATAACATTAAATAAAATTGTAATCTCTGTAGCTGTTATATGTATTATATACCTGACAAAATCGGAGTCGATTCTTGCGAAGGATCTTCAACGTAAGCGGCTCCCCTTGACTAGATTCAAAAAAAGCTCATTTAAGCCGCTTTTCTATATACACTGAAACACGTAGGAGCTTTTATAACAGATCTTTGAGTGATTGGCGAGTTTTTGGATGAAAAGATTAGAATTATAGCATTTAAGCCGCATGCAGTTTTGAAAAATGTTTTTCGCGAAAAATACGTTTGAATATGGAAATGTGTTATTGCGAGATTATTTATTATAACAAGTTTTGTTATTTTTAATTAGCATTTTTGAGAAACTGCGTCCTAACACTTTAATTTCTTGCAGAGGTAAGGACATTCCCCTTCCCTTCAGGACACTCTAAGCCACAAGTTTATTCAATGGTCGTCTTGATAAAATTACACGAATTTTATATTCCGTTAGCATATCACAACAGTTAAAAAGCAAGCGTCAAGAGATGTTAGGCTATGACTTATCAGCACTTGGCGGGCGTAGTGTTCTCAGAGCGCTTGAGGAAAAGTTCCAAATCTTAAGAAAAAAATTTGTTTCAATCAATTAAATTTTTTCATCTTTTCTAGAAGGTTCGAAGCATCTATTGAGCTAATAAAAAAATTGATGTTTTATAAAAGTTTAATAAGTTTACGATGGTTTTATGCAAAAGAAACGGGAAAAAATGCCCAAAAATCACCCTGTATTATTTTGTAGCTAATCAAACTAGTTGAGCATTTTCTAAAAAATTTAAAATATACCAGTGTTACTCTATTTCAGATTCGTATACCGTTACTGCTTTATTGCATTGTTGCTATAGCTTAGTAGTTTTCAAATATTAGTACGCAGATGTAGATTAGAATGGGGACTAAAAAGTGATGAGGGGTGCAAAAGAGAAGGTTGAAGAGTATTTCAGAGAGTAAAAAGATTACAATTTCTAGTTTTCTTAGCTATTTATTGTGCTTTCTTCGTAAATGTTTCTCACATTTCAAACTCTTATTTAAATATATCATTTATTGTTACATTATAAGGCTGGTAAGAGTGAGTAGTGGTAAGTTAAAAGTGATTAGTAATTATTATCTATTTTGCATACGGACAACTATAATAGAATGTCAAATAGCTACCTGCTGCCTCTCGTATTATTTATTCATTAATTATTCTTGTTGAATAATTGATTTAAAAAACATAAATATAAATTTGACTCGATAAACGTAGGTTTTTGAAGAGTTATATAAATAACTACACTACACTATTTTCTTTTTCTACCGGCGACGCAATGCCAAGTAATGGGTGTAGACATCAAGAAGAATTTGTAATAATTAGTGATATTTAGAAAAAGTACCGGTTTTTTTTACGTTTGTCTAATAAATGTTATGCAAATTTCTTTAATATCTTGAAATGGTAATCTCAAGTTTGCCTTCTTGCCACTTTATTATGCATTTTGTCGGTGCTTTAAATAATTATGTGCCTAATTCGAGTTTTAAGAAACTAAGCCACCAATTAAGTAACTTTTAAATTAAATTAAATTATTTAAAAGATTGGGAAACTTTACACGTATTGTAAAGCAATCGGAAGAGAAAACAAAAAGTAGTCTACAAGTTTGGTATACTAATTAAAAACTTCAAAACCATGTATTTTGCCTGTGCCCGAAATTTTTGTATGTTCCACTTATAATACACTGTCCGTTTTAACGAAGAAGTATGAACTTCTGTGCTTGTTATCTTTACAAGTATAATATCATAAGTTTCGGAGTGTACCAAATGCACATATGTCGAATGCCAGTTTACTTAGATTCATACAAGGGCAGTTTAGAATATTATAAATCATTACTTTTCATTAGCTTCCCCGTCCTCCCTATATATAATTTATAAGCCAATATCTTTAAAAATATCTGAGATGATAATGGTTTTCTCCCTCTTCCAGGACTTTCTATTGCATTTAAATGGAAATGCTCTCACAAAAAAAAAATAATAATAATAATAAAAAATGAACTGAATGTCATTGTGAACTCTTTATCACTGATTTCCAAAACTCCATCATATTTATTTCGCCCTGGCATGCCAGCAACTTCATGTCGATATATATTCATACTATATTTAAAAAGCTGAATTATAGATAAAACTCCGAAAAAGCTGCCACTTATGACATTGGGTATCTATATAATCTCAAACCGTACTACGAGAAATTTTCTTTTCATAATCAATTATTAGTCTTTTCAACTTTTTCCAATTCTTTAATTTCCTCATTCAATTTATTCAGCTCGTCATCTAACAACTCATTTATTTCCATAGTAAGATCCATTTCGGTTTTACCATCTTCAAAAATTTCATCCGTTATAAAGCGTTTAGTGATTTCTATATTAACCGGTGCCGGACTGTCGGGCAGAGGAGGTGGAGGGGTATCATCGGCAGGTAAATAAAACTTTGCATTATCAATTTTGTGGATTTCGTCGTATTTAACGATGTCATCGTTAGTCAAAACGAGTGGATTAGGTGTTCGCTGTAGCGCCTCAGGAGTCGAGGGGACAGCAGAAGTGGTCTCTTCGTTCGTATTTTGGAAGCCTACACCAAAGTTACGTTTAAGGAAATCGAATATATTTTTGGTCTTTCTAGGTGAGTGTTGCGTCTGCGACTGGGGTTGTGGTGAATTACTTAAGGATTTAATTTTAGGCTTGGGAGATGTAGGCGGTGTTGTGGTAGTTACTTTAATTTGTGTTTCCACTACGTGCATGCGTGCTATGACAACGTTATCATCCCTGTCATCTTTGCGGGGATTTCGAGGCGATGTGTTTTGCTGAAGATCGGCTTCAGTTATTGATTCAGCTGGTTTGCAACAGGTTGTCAAGGGCAACGGAATTTTGGATTTTCTTTGCGAAATCGGGGTATTGCACTGTAAAGAAGAGGAGGGTAAAGTAGATTTCAATTGGCTGCTCGCTAACTTCTCTTCGGCTATGATTTTTTCACAAGTTTCTATCAAAGCTCTAGAATGAGCTGCCCGTGCTGCTATTATAGGAGAATTGGGCTTACTGAGACTTTTTAAAGGCAAGGAACCAACTGAACGACATGAGTTGTCACTTTTGCAAATTTCCGTAGGGGAAACGGATATAAATTTGGTGGTTGCGGATGACTGCCGACTATCTGGTATGGTATGTATGTCTACTTTTTGGCAGAAATCTTCTTTTATGTACGGTTGCCGCGAAGTGTCAAAATTTGCAATCGCAACCGAAGAGTTCTCTATTTCCTCACGGTTAACTTCAACATATTCTGGATAAGGTAGGCGTTGGGTGGCCACATCCAACATTTTACGAGTCTCTTCCCCGACGATTTCCTGTCTCTGTATTTTAGCAAGAGCTGGAGTGATTGGGAGCGACGCTACAAGAGTGGAGCACATAGCAGAGTTCAAAACAAGTGATGTGGGTATTGTAGGTGTTTGTACGATGGGACTTGAAGATGAATAGGGTGTTGAGTTAGCTAATTTATATAGACTGGATTCGTTTGGAGAACAACTAACCAAAACTGGTATTTCTGCAGATAAAACATCTTTAGAATATTTTAAGCATCCACTTTCTTTTCTTTTGTCTTCATCGCTTTCGTCTCCATGGATTTGAACTTGGGATTTAATTTTGCTGGCTTCCATCGCGGAAGTGGCAGCTGAATTGTTTGACGTTGTTGATGATCGTAGGTAGGTATTTTGTTGAGCTTCAATTACCGTACAATCGCTAGAACAAGTCGATGATGTAGACGAAGTGGAAATAAGCGGTGGTTTTTTCTCTTCTTCCATACTTAGTGCTTCAGATTTATTGAGTGGCATTAGATTCCTCTTAGCAGCCACAGGAGGCTGCGATATTTGAGAGCTGCGCGGTAAAGGCTTGGGTGGAGATATTAGTTTACCTTGCAAAGTTGAATTATTTTTTTTTTGTTGACATTGTTGCTGAAAGCATGAAGAAAGGTTTTTAACGGTATTAGGTTTCGGTAATTCTTCTGCATTGACTATGGTAACCGGAGGAGCACATACAACTACCTCCGGTTGCTGCTTGATTGCTTCACTAGTTCGTATATGGCATTCACTCTGAGGTTCATTGACTACTGTTGGTCGCATGGCTGGCATTGGTTTTGTATCTATTTTTTCTTGCTGTTTAACAGATGTCGTTGCTTCAGTAACTGTTTGCAATGCGGTTGCTGATTGAGTTGGTTTTTGTTGTTTGGGAAATTCGATATTGCTGGTTGTAGATGAATTGTTTGATGCTTTAACTATGTAGGGCAAATGTGATTTCTTTGCGGTTGCAAGTGGTGTTGAAGATGGGGGAGTTGATGGCAGGAGTTTCATTTTGTTATCACTAACGTGTAAAGACTTAGAATTGAATATTTCAACGCGGCCATTAATGCTAAAAGGAGAATCAGGGCATTTGCGTTGGCTTGTGGGACTGAGATGATGTTCTCCAGCGGTAACATTGCTGTTGGAATCTACAACCTGACAAGAAGTGGGAGCTATAGGTGGCTTAGTGATAAGGGGGGGCAATTCGGAGGCTAAAGCCAAATGTTCGCATATCTGAGTTTTAAGCATCCCTGACCTATTGAAAATTTCAAAATCCTCTCTTCCCAGCTCTTCTTTAAGTCTTTCATCTAGTTCGACTTCTTCATTTTGAAACGTTTCTTTGAAAATTTTTAAAAGATTTCGGGCATGAATCATTTCATTAGTAAGTTTACGAGGCAACTTCGAAGCAGTAGAATTTAAAGCAGTAATTGAAGAAAAATCCTTCACCTTATTATCATTACCCGTAACCAAACTACTTGATTTTAAACTACGTGTATTATCATTATTGGAACTATAAGATATAAAAGAATCGTTGTTAGTAGAACTTACACTATATTCCATGGTTTCGTTAGTACTGGGGGAAGTAGTTGCCACTGGTATGGGTGATGATGACACAGCTGTGGGCAACGGGGCTAAAGCTACTGATCCCAATGACAATTCCTCAAATTCAGCTTCGATTTGATTGACTACATTGGCTGCCGCCGCCAGTTGCTGTTCTTCCAAAGCCAGCGCTTCGATTGCAGCATGCAACTTGTGTTCCTGTTGTTTTTGCAATTGTTCGACCTGCAAACCACGATTGTCAACTTCTATATTATCGGCGCTATGCACTCGGCTATCACCTCGTTCAAGTTCGTTATCGTTCGTAGCTTTGACGTACTCATTGTTGATCTCGCTGCGTGATACTTCTCTCAGAGCCTGTTTTGCTTTTTCATCTTCGTTTTTCATAATTTCCAGTTGACGAGCGTCGACCAGAGCAACGGGGGGTTTACGTACCTCTTCTTTGGCTACAGCACTTTGTAAACTAGATAAACGCTCCTTTAACGGTGGCACAGGTATATCGACTATGGACGATTTTGTCAAACTGTTTCCACTTTTGACTAAATTCTGTTTTTTTTGCTCTAAGCTTTGTAAACGATCTTTTATGCTAGTTATCTCACCCGATGAACATTTATTGTCCTTTCGGTTAAATTCTGACAATTCGCTGTGATTGTCTTGTACCTTGAAACGATCAAGTAAAGAAACACGTTGCATTGCTGCTGATGTGCCTGATTCTGTATTAGCTAAGACTCCTTGAGACTTTGGTACATACTGTTGAGCTAATTGTTGTTGATTTTCGAAAATTTCTTTGCGCTTCGAAATATCGATTTTTGGTACATCGACTTTTTTCTGTTCCACACATTCTTCGCTCGGCGATTGTACTTCAAAGCCTATTAAGCGATCTTCAATTTTACTACCTCGACGAGGTGGATAGATTTCTTTAAAACCGGCATTACCATTCTGGCTGCCATTAGAAGACCTCTCGGGTGTCGATTCTTTTGAGTGAACGATGCCATTACTAGTATTATTGACAGTAATTTTATTTAGGCTTAAAGCCATTAAGCCACAGGCAGCTCTTGACACCCTTTGTTTGTAATCCTGTATGGCACCCTCATAAGTGTATTCACAAGGATCGGGTGAGCTAGCGGGTGCTGTGCTCGAAGATGTTTCATAACCAGGCGAGGAGATGTACTCTCGTGTTGTACTATTTTTCGCAGATTTTTGACTTGTCACCATGATTGCTGTTTCAAATTCGACGACATTATCACTCTGCAATTAACAACAAAACAAACAGAAATTGCGATTATTATCAAGATAAATTATACGCTAATATCAATAAATGACGATGTGAACCACTACATAATCTGACAATGCCTGGCACAGAAAAAATAAAATATATATAGACATCAGCACTCTTAATAATCCACTCCTATCAAGGAACAAAATCGAAATAAAGAAGAAATCAAATTGTATTTCAATACAAGAAGAGCGACAAGATCAGTGCTAGCGATAAATCAATTCGAGCGTTAATTAAACAATTCAATGATAACACAGCATCGTGATGACTACTGGCGTCTTTAACTTTAGTTTATAATTAAAATTATATGTTTGCGCATAAAGAGATATAAAAATAAAAGAAGAACATAATTTGTACAGTCACCCAAGAAAGTGAAATTTTCTTTCCACAGTTTACTACCTTTAGCATATTTAACCTTAATTCATACACATGTTTTTATAATGAATCCTCCCACAACATGATTCCTTATAAAAACGAAAATTGTTAATCATGACTAACTCAAAATCAAAAAACAATTCTTATAAAGATATTAATTATTAATTTAAAGTAAAATAAAAGCACAGTTTTTGAAATGCGATATGAAATACTCTAAAAATACAAATTCAAAGCCCGAATGAGCCTTAAAAGCGCATCCTGCACGGATAACCTCTAATGAGTTTTTTCAGTTGTATATTTTAATGGAAGAGATCGTGGACAATATATTTGAAGTAACTACGAAATAGAAGAAGCAAGTTTTCTTTGTGTTTCCATGCCAAATTGGCAAGCTATCTAGTACACCCTTTAAGGAAAAGTTGCTGGTCTGGCCATACAATTTGACGCATTAATATCCAGTGGAATCCCGTGCGATCGATCCAACGTGGAACACATTTGTACTTAGGAATCGAAAACGTTTTCTTGGCTTTGAAGGGTTTAATTTCACAACTAAAAGCAACAGAAAGGATTACAATAACAAAGCCAACTGTTCAGCTTTGATGTCTTCATCGTATTTATGTCGTCAATAAATGTATTGTACGTCAATATATTTTATTAAAACGTGAAAAGGACGCAAAGTCCGCAATCTGGCCGGTCAAAGCCGCATCTGTACTCATAATTAAGTGAGGTGTAGTAAGTCAATTCAAACATACCATTTCCGTAAATTAGTTAACATCTTCTTTGGCATATAAGAAACAGTCCATACAAACAGATTAATAAGAATTGTGTTCTCGCACTAGGGGTTAATCGTTATTATGCCAATCGCTAAGTGGACAGCTTGGTCGCAATACAAACATTATACTTATTGCGGATAGAGATTGAATTCCAAATAAACTGTTTTATGTAAAGCTTTCGAAAAATATAAAAAAGGACACGTAACCAATACAACAAGACAAAGAATAACTTATAACCATGGGTTGGTTCCTAAATCTCATTAACAATAGAAATAGTATTAAAACCGCTTAACACATTACAAGATGTGCACAGACGTGGTCCAAATTTAGTATAGGTAATTGTTAAGTCAAGCATCTTTGTGTATTACACATTACCATATATGAAAATTTTTGTAAATAAAGTGTTGATTTTTCATAAAGGCAGGGTTGTATTGAAAGTACAAATTACTTTCTTGGTTGTATAGGTGTACAGTTCTGCACCAAAATATCTGATTTGAGTAAACTTTACTTTTCCTGCTTAACTTGAGAAGGAAAAGGTGCTGCTAAAGTATTAGGAACGATGAAGAATGGATGCCTTACAATACCCAAAATCTACAAGGATGGTGTTTGTTATGTCTTTTTCTAACCAAATTGAATCATCGCTAAGGAACGATATCAACAGGAATTCATTCAATGACGACAGGAAATGGGCGGGGTATGCCAAAAGTCATATTATTGTGAGTTTTCCATACGCGGAAATCGACCTTATATATCAAAGCTCCATCAGGAAATGATTACAATTTTACAGCAAAACGTACAATCCTCCCCACTGTTATTAGGCATTACTTCCGATTAGTACTGGCTCCACTGAATGACTTATTGTCTGTTCGAGCGGTGCTTCCATTTTTGTGAAATATGAGTTCTTTTGGGGAATGCCTCAAGAAATAAGACATATTATCGACATGGAATTCAAAAAGTTATATAACAGGTGAAAAAGGCAGTAGCCAGGGTTGGATAGTACTTCAATTAACCGGTTCACACATTTTTTTCTGAGATAAAAGCATTTTTGACGCCTGTTTAATATATGCTCATCAAAGCCAATGTAAACTATAAAGAACGAACGCAACTATTAGCAGGTAGAAGAAGGTAATGAACGTCACGGTAATTTACTGAGCGGTATTTTTTAACTTACTGTCAGGTCATAATCGATTATTACCGGGACTTTCCTTTACCATATTATACGTCTTTCAACTTAATAAAATATCACTCCATATGATTTTTAGGTAACAGCAACCCTTAAACAAAATGTATCTGAAGTTCACGACACTCCGACCATTACTTCGCAGGTTACAATTATTTTAGTAAGCCTATCCTGAATTTCGTGTACAGTCACATTAAAACAACGATCGCTTGTAAGTTAACGTTTGGAACACCATGACATTTTGATAAGTTCCGTTCTAAGGTTGATATTATTTAAAAATCATATGGATTTGCCAATAGTTATCTTGCTTGCGTATGTTGTCCTACGAAGTTATTGTGCAATGAAGACTATGGGGTCAGATATTTGTTTAATTTTTGCAAATGTTTAAGCGGCGACGCCTACTGTGCAATCTCTAACCACTTATTAAATATTTATTTATTTAATATTTTATTTTTTCGTTAAATTCCGCTTGAGCGGGTACACTATATATTAATAAGTTAAAAACAATTAAGCAGTCTTAATGGTATCTACCATATGAAGTATTCATTGCTTTGTTGTTAATTTGAACGAAAGCAAAAAAACTTTCTTTTTACGCAAATACGGTAAGACAATGGTTTATGAATTATTTTTGTTAAGTTTGAAGAATTTCTCTAAAAAATATAAATATTGAATACTAATTACTTACTATAGCACTGTTGTTGTCGCAGTCCTCAGATAAACTGCTTTTTCCACTGGCACTGCTTGTACCAATACCAAGGTCACTTAAATCATTCGATTCATCTTCGTTGTAAACAGCTAATGAGGCTAATTTATTAAGACTCCGACCTGCCCGTTCACCTCTAAAATAAAGAAATAAAAATTCTTTACAGAAAATGTCCAAAAATTTGTATAAAAAACAGCTTTTCAATTTTTTTCATACGTTATCGACATTCCGAAACGAAAAAGCCATATCATACCATACCTTTCTTCGATCATTTCAGAAAACGTTTTCGATTTTCGACGCGTGCGATCATGTTCTTCCATTTCAAGCTTTTTCACTTCCACCACACGATCAATGATATGTTCAACACGTTTTCTACGTGACGATTTCCAATTGTCAAGATTCTGATATTATTATTGTGAAGTCATATAACGTTGTGTAGATAGGTTTGTGTAGCGAAGGTAGAGTTTGCGAAGACGCGATTGTTTTTATTGAAAGGGAAAGAAAAGAAGACGAAAAGATTAGAAACAGTGAAAACAAATATTTTTTGATATTGGCTTCGTTTTCTATGCTAAAACAAGAGAGAGTTTTATGTGAAATATTTTCCTTCAGCTGCGGTCTGCTACAATAATTTACATGTGAGTTGGTTAGAATGGGGAATTGGTCAACGCATATGGTCTCAAAAGGTTCGGCAAAAAACTAAAAGAGATTGATTACTTATAAAAAAGAGAAGTGACAGACAGACCTGTGCCGCTACGTTTTATTATTTCGCTAATCTGTCCGTAACTCTTTGTCAACTTAAAATCGAAGGATAATTATTACTCACTATTCTGCATTAATATCAGATACTGCTGTTAGTCAAAATAATACGTTGAAAAGCGGAAGTAAACAAGATGTAGTTAAGGTACAAATTTTCGTTACATCATTTACGTTACAGGAGATGAGCTGCGAATTCTGTTCAATATATATTCTACTTAATACCTAACCTACTTTATGGGCGTAAATGATTGGAAATTCAGTCAGTTAAATCCTCTAATCTCCGCGAAGTCGTTGTTAAGAATTACGTGATCTCAGAAAAGAAAAAAATTTCCTTAATAGTTTAGGATAGAATTAAGCACATATTACTAATAAGTTTATCCACATAGCCCAATCCAGATCTACTGCTTGAATATCTTATTGATCGGTGCGTAAAAAATTGGTAGTTGTTTCACTTTTAATTGCCATTAGATGCAATTGGTCAATGTAGTTCAAAACAATCTGCCTATGTGTACTTATTATATGTCTATAAAAGATGTAGATCTCTCTGAAGTAAAAAGTTTACTTTTCTTATAATCCCATCACAAGTGAGCTAATGAGTAGCGTATAAAAAGAGAAAATTTGTCGTTTAACGATTGCGCAGGGATGAAAATCGGTTTGACTCCAGTTAAAAAATTATTATAAATGTGCAATTGAATCGGCCTAATAGGACAGAAATTAATTAAAAATATATTTACGCAAAAAATGTCTCATAGATGTTATGAAATTTACGGCGAACGTGTCCAACCAAATTCATTAAACATGTGATTTTGTGTCGCTTAAGACTTTAATAAAACTTGGCGGTTACTTAACATCATCCTCATATAAAATCCAGTAAAAAATATTTAAAATTCATAGAAAGTGAAGCAAAGAAGAGCGAATAATTGTACGAGAGTTGAAACGAGAGTTTTTTTTAGCAATAATTTTTATTTAAGCCCCAAGAATTACATAATTCCTTATAAAGATATAGATACGCTTGCATGCATGTATACACTAGCATGCGCTAATTTGCGCCTGCAATACAAATCACCTTCTCGTTACAATTTGGATTTAATTTTTCGTTGAGTCTCATACTACAACGGGTCTATCCGTTACTAATGGCAGTTTTTTGCGGATGCGTCCAAAGCTTCAAAGCTGTCTGGTGGAGAAAACTTACTTACTTCTGGAACGCACAGACGAACTTAAAAGAGATCGGTTGGAATTGATCGAATTGTCATCGCCAATAAAAATTTGCCTCTTTCTGAGAATTCTAAAGTAGAATTATAAACCAAACGATATAGAACGAAACGAGAAGCGCATGTACATACGCATCAATTCAAAATGAAGTTTAACCAGTTTATATTATTATTTGGAAGAACAAATTTTAAATAAAGAAAGATGTGGGTTTCTGAACTGTTCGAGTTGAAACAAAAAATTTCCAATTAAGACATTAAAAATATTTGCATATTTTTGAAAAATGTACAGTCAAAAAAGCGCTTTTTCACAAAATCATTCCCATCTTGATCCACAAAATCCGCATTATTCACTGATAAACCCAACATTTTCTCATGAAAGCAAGAGATCTTAAAAAAAAAATTTGGAGCTTAACCGCACTACATAACAATGACGACAGCAACAGCAACAAATGTTGTTCGCACAAAACAACAAAATTAAAAAACATGTTTAAATTGTTTCATATGCGGAATTTTAAGTACGCTCTAAATTGTTGACACATCAAGTACTTGTGGTAACTTTGTGTATATGTACTGGTTTGGCTCTCTATGTACAGCCAACATAATAGATTATGTCGACCATATATATATACATACGTAGTCGCTCACTCACTCACCTAATCCTTGTTTGTCAAAAGTTAGTTACGTGAGTGTTACGTTTTTGTATAAATTTGTCACGAATCTGTAACAAACTGATTGGTGAGTCAGTCATTTGTTAGTTCAGTCAGAGAATTGTAGGTAATAACTGATCATTTTCAATTGATCATCATCCCATCATCGAGGGATGAGGGGTATATTAATTTTGTCAAAACGTTTGAAACAGCCAGAAGAGAGCTTCAGAGACCCCACAAAGTTTACCTATTCTTGATTAGCATCAAATTCGAAATCGATTCAAGGATGTCGATCTATCCGCTTGTCCAACGTCTGTTGTAAGCATCCTCACAAAAATGAAGATATCATTTCAAATTTGGCAGTCACATTTCAAGCTCCTGCACGCGGCTTGGTATTGCAAATGGGTCAAATTAGTCGTAAACTGAACGCAATTCCGTTGTTTGAAAGGAATAAAAAATGGCTTTTTTGCTCATAAAGTCGAGCAAACAAATCTACAAAAATCTGAACGCATACTCTATGGGCGACATTGTAGTAACCGTGCAAAGATGGAGAAAATTGACCTCGTCTATCCAATACTATAATGTATAAAAATTTAATACTTTTTCAATAATATTGTTACGGGCAGTATTAAGCTTCAAAACCGCATAAAGTGTACAAATTCTTGTCCACTTTCAAATTCGGAGGGCATCAAAGCATATCCGCATGTCCATCTGTTCGTCTATGCAGTTGTTTAGTATCTGTGGTAAGCGTTCTCCCTTTCGTAAAAATGAAGATATCGCTTATGAATGTGCAAAAGAATTTGAAAATAAACCAAATTAACCCGTCAAATGACAGGCCTACAACGCCTACATGCCTACGCAACAAAAAAAGTGAAAATCTTTGCTTCCCGTGTTTCTTGCTTATTACTCTTAAACAATGCATATATACCATATAAATTTCCAACTCTGTTCTGAAAATAGAAAAAATCAGCTGCACTCACGCAATGATATAGATTATGAAAGTTTGGTTCTTTACCTTGTGTTTAATTCCTTTTAAGATGGGTATAAAAAATTCGATCACGACCGAATGTAATTTCCCTACTTGGTTTACTTGTGCCAGCGATTTGCCACTTCTTCAAGTTAAGCGAACAAAAAAGCGAGAAGAAACGAGAGATTACGTGAAGGTTTATATATTTCGGTTGAAATTGGCATCTGAGCTTTCTTGTATTGCATGCGCATAGTTTAAAATCCATTGTTTTTGTCTGAAAATGTTCCACGATGTCGCCCTCTAATGTAATGTTATTTTCATTATGTAAGTTTACATTTTTTGAAATTTCATGCTTTTCCTATAGACGAAAACAGACTTAAATTAATCCAGATCGCATATACATCACACACGCAAGCGTTGGTGTTAAATCATATCGCTTGCAACGAACCCAAAAAATTTCAAAAATATATATCGCTATTTTATCATACTTTTTCGATACTTTAATTTTTTCTTTCCACATAGCATTTTATGTTTGTCCTCTATTTGTTTCGAAGTAAATATAATAAGCTTTAAAAATATTGGTATTCGACTGATCAATATCGTATTTGTTTGTTGTGAAAGTTTCATCAGAACCACAGTTTGGCGGTTTAAGAATTCTGACCTCAAATTACATTGCATTTCAAATTACACGGTGACAGGAAAAGAAGAGGCGTTAAAAATGCCAAAGAAAAGTTTGCCAACAGGAGTATTGGGTTCCGCCAAGCAAATATGATACCAATTAAATGGAAGTTGAGGCCAAAATGTGAATTACATTGAATTTCAAGTTGCTAGTCCAGCTAAGGAGGGGCTGCTACCGCTTGGTTGGAAGGTTTTTGCGGAATAATATCATTGATCGCTAACAAGTACGTGATTTTTTGTTGCAAAAAATATCCAAATGCACCTTAAATTATTTCGAATTAGTAAGCAATAGTTTAAAAAAATAACACAAAATGTTGCGACAATATTTTTTATACCATCAACGTGATTATAAAAAAAAGAAAAGAACTAAATTTTCATAATCTATAAATTTGAGTAGGCATGGCTGATTTCTTTCATTTTTATAGAGGATCTACCGTATAGTCGATAGAATTTCGACGAACTAATTCTCATCATGACGAACTAAAAATTTGACAATTTTGCCATACAAATTACTTTATTTTCCCCAAAAAGGGTTGTATGGAATTTTGCATTAAGGTTGTTCGCTTTTGATTTAAGAAGTGGAAGAACAGGTTCTAACTGATCCTCGTGACTTAAGAAAACAGTAAAAGTAAAGCTACGTTGAATGATCTGCAGACAGATTTAATTCGGTTCAGCATTTATGTGGAGCACTGTTTAATAAATATCACTAATATACTTACATTCTGCCAATCTTCTGGTTCCTCCTTCCGTATTTCTTGGATTTTCTTCACTTCTTCTGCTTTTTTCAGTTGCTCCTGAGCTGTTTGATACAAATTGCAAGGTTTAATTTGTACAAATTGCATAGGATTGTATGGTGGTGGTGGCGGTGTGGGACGTGTTACTCTAGCCTTGGCCACATAGGCTGTGGGATCGGCCGAAGCAATGGTCTGAAAAAAAACGGAAGAAGCGTATTAACCACCTTTTAAAATTTAATTAAAAAAATTATATATATCACGTCTTTCTTAGCTTCTATTATGAATAAGTACACACATTATAGTCGGGGAAGAAGAATCATTAAATGTCCCTTACGGCTTCCCTCATACATTCATGATAAAATTGAAACGATTACAACTTCCTTCCATCAGCGGAGGATAAGGGGTATATTCACTTGGCCAAGATGTTTACAGCACCCAGAAGGAAGCTGCAAGGATCCATGGAGTATATATATATATTCTTGATCAGCATCAAATTCTAAACCGATTTAAGCAAGTCCGTCTAAACACGCCTGTCTTAAACACTTTTTCTGTAGCAAAAATCACACTATCGGCTTTAAATTCGTCAGAAAGATTAGAAATTTTTGCTTGCAATTTGGTATTGAACGCGGGCCAAACTCGTCGAAGTTCACGACCACGGTACAATAGGATCTGCGATCACTTCTGACCTCAAAAATAAAAACAATTTCGTTTTTGCTCGTTACTTACAAATTACAGATACAAAGATAATTAAAGAATAAGAAATTTTTTCGTACATTCGATGGGTGGTCTTGTAACATGTGTGGAAAATTGGAAAAAATCGGCCACGCCTAGCTAAAGTTATAAGTGATTTTTTAACTTTTTTGATTTTTTGTGCTTAATACTCATAAGATAAACAAGACGGAATGTTACTAATTATTGTTTACTTCCCTCACATGGAGATAATCTGTCGAAAAATGTGTTCCCATATTTATCAAAAGTGATTTTGCTGCCAAAAATCTACGTCTGGTTAAAGACGTATTGAGCCCGTGCGGATGTATCGTAACATCGCCTTGCAAACTAACTGATCAATTAAACTGATCGATTTAGAATCATATTCGGAGCAAAGGTTGAATTTCTGACGTTGCAAGCATATGTCACTTAAATAGATTTGAGGATAAAGGTCGTAAAAACGACCCATAATACACACATATAAATATGTTGTAAGGCAGCAAGCGCCAAATATTCAGTCAAAAATGATGCATTGTTATATATTGTTTTATATTGTAATCTATTTTCAGTACGTCTGAGATTGTCTGGTATTTACTTTAAAGGCATTGACATTGAAAAGGGCAACATGCTTAATATGCTCGTCCGCAGCAGCAGTTAGTGGGAAAATCAATAACGGAACGTGCACGGGTATGATTGCGAGGCCAGAAAGTGTATGAAAACTTCTTGATACACCGGTATATGTATATATATGTGCCTTTTGTATAAACATTAACCTTTTAAAACCACTAGAAGAAGAAGAAAAGCAAGTGAAGAAAACAAACAAACGTAACAGCAGAAGGTTGCATAAAACTGTGAGCAGATAGAGAAAAAACATACATCTTAAGCTTTGAAAGAATAATGGTGAATATACCAATACTCTCTCAAGTAGAAGAAAAAAAGGTTTTACATGACGGTAGTAAAGGAATTTTGAGTGAGAGCACAGAGGAGCAAGGGTAATTATATTAGCGTATGAAACAAAAAACTAAAAGTCATCAGCTGGGTAAAGCTGTATAATCACACGACCAGGATACATCATTTGCTTGCCTGATTGGAAACCTCGTAAGTTAGTTAATAATACTGTGAAAATATGATAAAATAAATACAATTTTTTTCTTAATGGACTATATCTTTAATGTGCCACGAACTTTAATTAATGATACGAGGGAGGCTTTCACTATAAAGTTAATCAAATCTTTAGCTTAAAAATTTTGTTTGAAAGAAAAAAAACCTTAAGGCGGCGCAAGATTTACGTTTATATACAAGCTTAAGATTCGGACGTACCGTTTTTTTACTCCCGTTACAACTAGCATTCGATGATGTGGTTGACGTTTGCGATGTTGACATATTATCAATTTCCATTGTTAGATTTAATTTACTATTATGATGTGGTCGATGTTGCTGTTCGCGTTCTTCAATTGATAATTGCGTTAATTCCTGTAATTGCTGTTTTGATGGATATTGTTGATGTTGTTCCTCTAATCTAGGTATTATAACGTTATTGTCCTTAGCATTGGTTGTTGATGTTGGCGAAGTTATACTTCGCTTATCTTCTGTAGGCATTTCAGCTTTTCTTTTTTTTTTTTTAACTTAAACTCTTTTTTAATTGATATAAACTTTAAACTTTGGTACGGATTTCTATTAGATTTTGGATTTGTATTTTTATTTTTTTAAGTTTTACAATATTTCGACGATTGTTGTCTCCACAGTCCTTACGATTAACCTCTCACGTTTTTTCATTTCTGCTTCATTCGTTCATGAAAATCACTGCAAATAAATAAGAAAAGAAAAATAGTTTACTCTTTACTTGTAAATCATTTGGTTTGCTGTACATGTGCGCCAAATTTCATTCTTCGAAGAACTAATCGCAAAGAAACTAATGGTTGCCATCTTCTTTTTACATACGGTTCTGAAGCTGATGACCTGTCTCCTGCCTGTACAATATCTGATGGCACGGGACAGAAACAAATTAGTCATATCGAATACGACAGCGCGTCAGCATTTACGAAGCTAGAGCTTGCAGCCACAAGCATTGCTCACAAAACTAGACGTAAAACGGTTATCGTTACAGACAGCTTGTCAGCCATGAAATCTATTCGTAAGCCTTTAAATTACAACTGGAAAACGATTAATAAAGTAAGGAATACCTTTGCCGTTTGCAAAAATAAAATTAAAGTCTTTGGATACCGAGTTATATTGGTCTTTTGGCATATGAGCGAGACCTAGCAACCAGGTCAGCATCTTTCGCTGCTCCTTAATTAGGGATAGCAAACACGCTACTCAATCAAATATTAATCGCAATCTCCTTCCGCAGGTGTATGCAATCAACGGCGAAATTCAACAAAAGCATGTATTTTAGATCATACTTAAATATTTATTATAGGTATAAATAAATAAGTTTTAGAGAAAATACACTCCAGCTAATATCTGGCTTCATTATGCATAAATGTCTTTCATAACTTATTCGTTTACCATATAGACATGCGACCTCCTAACCAAACGCATTTTGTTTACGTGAAACTTTTATTACCATCGATCCATATAAATAGTGCTCAAGTATTTTACGTCTCTTACACCATTGTAGATTCAGAAATGTCACTCGAAAATTTTCGATTCGCTCTTCTTATTTAATTGCTATCTTGGAGAGTGAAGTTTCTTACGCTTACTTGCTCTACTGCTGCTGTTGCCATAACAATTTTTTCTACTGCTAATGCTCCTACTCTTATTACTAACGTTAGAACGAAATATTATTTCATTAATTTAGATTAACGTATCGAACATTCTGCGTGTATTTCTTCGAAAGGAAAAAAGAAGCAAAATGTAGAAATTTTTTCGTAAGCGTTTTTGTAAAATCATGTTTCGAGAAAAAAACAGGTTTTGAAATTTATTACGTACATGTTTATTATTATTATATCCACTACCGAAGGATCGGTGTATACCCATTTTTTTTTTGTTTTCATACTGTATCTAAGACCCAAAAGGAAGCTTCAAAGACCTTATAAAATATCCTTGATCAGCGTGGAATTGTAAATTAATTAAGCCATGTCTGTGTGTATGTGTGGTGTGTGTTGTTGGCACTGTCCTACTCCTAAAAATGAAGATATCGATTTTAAATTTGGCAAAAACAATGAAAGTTTTTGCACGCAGCTTGGCAATGAAAATGGGTCAAATTGGTCGGAGCAGCAGTCCGCAATGAAACGTAAACTGAACGCAACTTCAATTCTTAGTTTTTCGCTCGAAATTATAGAAGTTAGAAAGCTGAAAATTTCCACTTTTACTTTACGAAACACTCTGCTCTTGAGGTGCAAAAGCGGGAAAAATCGGCGATGCCCACACAAAGTTACAAGTGATTAAACTTTATTTTTTTCACTTTCATGTAGTTTTATGCTTATTGTATCATAAGGCAAGCAAGACAGAATGTTTAAAAGCAAAAAAAAACTATGCTACATTGCTCAAATGAAGATATATTATCGGCCTAAAACTAGGTTAATTCTAAAGTGAATGTGGTAGACACGGCGACCAGGTGGATAAATGTTTTCTTAAAAATACCTTCGATATAGGTATCAAATGAAAGGAGTTGGCGAATTGAATACGATAGCGCGTTAGTTATAATCTAATTATGGTGGGCGTTTAATCTATAAAGTCTTGGGGTGTTTAGAAGAAACCGATTTCTTGGATGAATGTAACTTTCTTACTTGCTTTTTTCCCATTGGGCTGCAATCGCAGGACCACAAAAATCCTTTTCTATGTTCAAATATTCTCCCTTATTGCCTTTCCTTTTTTATGACTTTGTGCTTGAGAGTGTTGGTTTTGCTTTATCTGTCAAAGAGAGAGTCGCGCGTGTTACCTTTTACTTTAATTCTATACCCAAATTGATAATCGACATCGTAAACTTTATTCCAATCTTTAAATTTGAAGACGGGCGTCTCGATCAAGCTACACTAAGTTTTTTTCGAATTTTAAAGAAAAACATTTTTTTGGGAACGAGTGAGGAAAGTTTTGTGAAAAATCTACAGTGTTCTGCACCTTAATGCAACAGAATAACAAGTCTACTCTGAAAAAAAATATTGTAAAACTAATTTAATTTTTTAAATATTTTAAAGTCTGTGTACGCGTGTTTATAAGTATTATGTTTATAAGTATTTGTATGTGAAACAATGTAGTTGTAGATGTCATATTTTTTGTATATGTATTAACGGCAATAATATGCTAGCAGCAGCAGCAAAGGTTTCATGTCTAGTTAACCGCTATTATTGCATATTTATTAAGCATTTCAATTTTTATTTTTCTCATCCATCTCATCTGTTGCGGCCCATGTCGTTCTTAATTGAACTTTAATATGAACTGTTAAGTGCTTAAAGGAAATTCTTGACAAGTTTTTTGTACTTAATGCATACTTTATGCAGAGTATTTGCGACTTCTACAAGGCAACAGATGAATGGATGAATGAACGGATGTTTCAAGTAGAATTTGAAAAGACATTCAGTTCCAAGCAGTTATGCACTCAAGTACCTGCAGCATTTCTTTAACTGAGCCTGCTGATTACTAAGCTAATCGTAAGTGACCTTTTCTTTTCTTTTATTATTGTTGGTATGTTTTAAGTGGTGACAGTAGCGTTTCTGCCAAAGACAGACAAGCTAATTATATTCACTTATATTTCGCTGTTCCTTCAATAAACTATGTCAAGTGATGACAACATTTGAAATTTGCAGAGGTGCACAGATTTTGTTTGGTGAGCTAATGCGGTAGGCCAAAGAGTGGAAAGGCCAAATTTTTGATTTTGTAACCGATTAAAGACGAAAGAAAGGAAAGCCGGCAAATTTGGACCAGTCAATTGATTAATTTAACTGATTATTATGCAGACTGTTGAATTATTTGCACTGGTCGCATTGTCGCTGTATATTTCTGGGCATAATGGACACATCAAGGTCATATTCCTCTCGTATATCCAAAAAACAAATTAAAAACTATTCAGTTACTTATCAAGCTGCGATAAAGAAGCGACTTGAGTTTAAATCAAGATCCACTATAACTCGTAGGTTAGGCTGAATTTGGCTTGAGTGAAAGTGAAAAACGTTCTTAATAGAAACCCCTCTCTCGCTGAAACTGATAGAAACTTTTAAACACATTTAATTTGACCGCGAAAGCTTATGAAATTTAGAACGCTTAATAATGTAAGTTTATATGTAAATAAGATTGTTTATATGTAGTAGATTGATGAAAGACAATATTTAACTTCAGCGTAACACTAATGATAAATATTTAACCTTTTCTTTATTTAATTTCCAGCTTGGTTACGACAGCTCTTGCAAAGAGTCCTAAGTACTTTATTGCGGCATACATAAGAGAAAGAGAAAACATTTTACTGCAATTAAATAGTGTTTCCAGGTTAGAAATTTCTAACTAATTAACCGTAAATACCGCCAAGTAATGATGGCTAAGATTTTTCACATTCTATTATCTTTATGCCGTTTGCTTTTTTGTGAGTAACTTAAAATGAAATTATAGAGAAATTTTTTTTTAGTTATGATTTTTCGAAATGTAGCGAAAAAGTTCACTTATTCCCATTTATTGACATTATGTTGCACAGTAAGTTCTATGATGACTCTTAAACATTTTAACCTGATTTAAAAATATATATATTTATTTCTTTAGGTGTGATAAAAATCTCGTACATTCGAATTTGGTTTGTTTTAAATTTTATTAAAATTTTAATTAAAGCATTTCTTTAAACGGTTTCTTGTCATAACTGGTTGTTGTTGTTGTTGTTTCATTCATTTCATAATTTCGCGATAGTTTTATTGCCGACTAACCGAGACAAGGTAGCCATTAGATGGACAGAGACTTTCTCGTACAGTCTCGCTAACTGGTTAAGCGAATGCGTTTATTAAAACTTAATCCGTTGGCTGATAATAAAAAGGTTTTATTGTTATATTTTATACAATCCTTGTGAAAAATAAATATTTTGTTACGCTTGCTTTTAAACTGATTTTCGATAATTTTTGTTTACATTGCTGTTCAAATCAAAATTTGCGGTCTAGTCGTTGCCTTACTTTGTTTATAACTACCATAAATGCTAATGAAATTAGAAATTATTTTAGCTATAATTGTATGTCGGTCCGACTATTGTACGTATTGATAAGTCATGCAAGTATGCTCACAAAAAATGAAAACAAGTTTATGAGCGTATGTAGCAGTTTCTGAGCCACAAGAAGATATTCTATAACGAAAGTGATGTGAAAATGGACCATGCAGTCACATAGTATACGCACATAGAAATATTTTGACTGGGTGCTTCCATTCAATTTAGTGGAAAGCGAAGGTGATCTAACATAAATCTGCGCATCACTACGGCACGCTCTAAATTTTCATTTGCAGTCAAGTATATCAATTACTTTAATTTAGCGCACAAGATGATAGCTTACTTAAGTAACGTTTCTACATATGCTAAAAATATTTTATTTATTTCTTTCTTTCAATTTCAAAACGTCGCTGACTGATAATCTACAATAATAGTCGGCATTGATCTAAACATTGACGCGACTATTTCGCGCATTCAACTAAAAGTCCCGATCAACTTAGTGACGTGAAGGTCAAGTTTATTTCAGTTTCAAAAACAAAGGGCGGATTAAGAAATGAAAAGGCGTTATGTTTTATCTGAATTTCCTAGTCGAGTGCCAAAAAGGAATTTCGAAAACAGTTAACAACAATTTAAGTCTATTCGCGCGCCACTACAAGTACGAAAAGCTTTTCTTTTTTTTTTGGCA